ACAACTACACGCACTCCTCCCCCAACTCGCTGCCTCTGTATCTGATACAGAGGCAGCAACATGGAGGGTGAGGGGGGCAGGCAGGAGCAAGGAGCCAGCTTTTAAAGCTAGCTCTGCAGAGTTGTCTGCTCTCCCTTGCTGCCTCCCACAGAGGTGGGAGGAGAAGACAGGTGAGATGCCAGTGTAGCCCCTGTCCATGGGGAGCTCAGGCCCCCCATGGACAGAGACTGGTGCTGCCATGTGTTGCTGCCTCTGATACAGAGACAGCAGTGCAGGGTGGCAAGGGGCAGGGTGGAAAGTGGAGCCAGGAGCACACTGGCTGCTGGCCCCACCCCTGGAGACACATGATTATTCAGTAAACCGATAAGATTTTGTGTAGTTACATGATTACCAAATTAATCAATACACAACATCATACACAACCTTTTACAGGAATGTAAGCTTTATTCTTTCATTTGGTAATATTTTCTCTCTTTCAACACCTGAAGCAGACAGATTCTGACTTCATAATCAACTAGCATTTTTAAGAGAAAGTGCAACTCTAACACAGCTTTTCTCTTCAATTCTCTTTCATGTCTCATCACAAATCTTTCGCATTGTTTCCTCACATCTTTTTGCTCTCATTCCCAACTTCAGCTAGTCTTTAGAACACTTAGTACTCCTAGCATAATTCTGTTAACTGGAACATTACTGGTGAGAGGGACCTAGACTGCCATGTTCATTTAAAAAAAAAAAAGTGAGGAATTTTTCAGATTACTCTTATCACTATTCGATAATTAGAACTTGCCTACACACAAACTTGATGTAAATAATGGTAATTTAAAAACAGATTTAGACTGTTGCATGTGTGGACATTCTCATAGCAGTTATCATCAACTTGGTTTTAGCTTCCTTACATATTTAAGAGAAGTATAAGCCATTTTAAAAACTGATTTAAGAACATCAACCCATTCAGGGGCTTGTCCAAATGTAAACTGGATTACAAAAATTTAGATGGTTTATGGTTCCAAGTTAAATATTTTCTACATTTGGAAGAATGACTAACCAAAGGAAACTAAAATTGCTATCTTGTAACTGATGAAAAAAAGGGGGATCTATTTTCCACTTACAGTTTTACTTTTAAAAAGTAAATGTATTTACAATGCAATTACTAAATGTAATAGGATATCACCTGGTAGTCCTTTAGGAACTGCTATACACACCCATTTCCTGCTGGTATAGTAGTTTATAAAGCAAAGCATGTAATGTTGGTAGATTTTTCTTTAAAAAAAAAAAAAGCACAAAGTTGATTAAAATGACCATAGAAAAGCTACCAGAAATATATGAAATCTCCAAAAATATAAAATCAAGATTCAATTCATATGGCTTATTATGCAACAGGATTCATTTTTAAGTCATAACTTTAAAAAACACACCTCTGCAGCACATAACTAATTTCACACCCAAATTCACTAACCAGCAGACACTTAATATTTTCTAATGTTGAGTAACCAAAATGCTGAGTCTTGGCTTTGACACAGATGACTTTACCTGCAATTATATCTTATTCTGAGTTTGTCTCACATCTGAGCCTCAGGGGGTTTAGCTCTGAGGACAGGGTATATGCACAGAAATCAATGTTTCTCACTTGACTAGTATAAGAAACATGAGAACAGCACTGTTAAACTGGAAAATTTAATGGCAAAACTGTTTTATGTTTTCTCAAGAGGTTACACTTCCCTCCTATACATTTTTTAAATTCACATTGCAAACATCCAGGCCATGCTCAAAAGGCCACTTGTCTATTTCATGACACCACAATGTTCCTAACATTACTTTCAACAGGCTTCCAATAGCACAAAAGGATCCCAAAACAGTGATGGAGAGAAAAACATAAAATGCAAACTTTGCCTCCAGACTGTAAACCATCAAGTCCAGGAGGCTGCTGAAAACTTTCAACGTAAACAAAATCTTTGTTGTGAGTTACTGCATATCTGCTTTTCTCAAGCAAGGAGGCTGCTACAGATACTGGCTCTCCCACAAGCAAGAGCTGCTCGTTACCCAATGATTAGCTTTTATCCTGCCTAAGAAGTATCTTTTCAAGTATCTCGGAAGACAATCTGCTTGTTCCACATCAGCCCCTTTCGAAATGTTTATACTTTATGAAGTGAAAGAGAAATGAGCTATCCGG